TGTTACTTCCTTCTACAAACATTTTCTCTCCACTTCTAGGATCCTCAGCCTACACAGAAGTAATTTTTCCTTATACTAAGTCAAAATGGAAGTCTTGAGCAAGCAGTTGGGTTGGGGCAGGGAAGGCTCTGGCAACCATGAATGAGATTTGATACTCCTTTGGCTCTGAAAAATATGGAAGTCATCTTTTGGAATGTGCCTCTTTTTCCTTTAAACTCTTTATAATGATTATAAATTCAATACATGATTATTATAAATAGCTTAGGGGTGGCTCCACTTTTTTGTAGGGAAAGTAGCCAATCCTCAAGTCTTGGTGAATACCCTCTCCATGTAATTTAAGCCAGTAAGATATAGAAGTGCAATGTACAGTTATGATTTTTTTCATAGTTCTTTTTTTTTTTAAAAGATTTTATTTATTTATTTGACAGAGAGAGAGATCACAAGTAGGCAGAGAGGCAGGCAGAGAGAGAGGGGGAAGCAGGCTCCCTGCTGAGCAGAGAGCCCGATGTGAGGCTCGATCCCAGGACTCTGGGATCATGACCTGAGCTGAAAGCAGAGGCTTTAACCCATTGAGCCACCCAGGCGCCCCTTTTTCATAGTTCTTAATTCGGGGAGGTAGAGGAGAGTCACAGATCCCTTTAAAGCTCTGATGAGAAGCTACATGTTCTCTCCCCAGAAAAATGAACATTAAGCACACACACACATAAAATGTTGCCGAAGAGCCACGGCACTGAAATTCCTATTTCAGGAAATCAGAGGCCACTGGAAAAGGGTGGCCTGGTGAACTCAACCAGCTACTGCTAGTCCTTAAGTAAGCTTCTTTCCCCATCTTGAGTTCGCTTCGTTTGTTATTAGGCCTGCTCTAGGGACTCTAGAATAATTTCTAAGCCACTTTCATGAGGGACTTTCATCTATACCCGCCAGAACTAGCCCCTATACTTTTTTTTGGAAGGGTCTGGATTTCAAAGACATTCATGAGGTTCCACTCAATCACAGCCTCCCTCTGGCAATCCTTTGTTCCTCTCTCAAAATACTGTCAGATTTGTGAAGCAAAACTATGCTTTTGTGAAGCTGGGCTGCCTATTTTTATCTGCCCCCTTATCACCCCATCTTCTGAAATGTGTTGTTTCTTCTCTGATTAGTGTTCCAGTCATGCAGGAGAGACCCAAGGCTCATGGATAAAGACCAATCAAGGCTTTGGGGAAAAGAAAAGAAAAAAAAGAAAGCAAAAAACCGCAACTTCTCCAACAATGGACATGGTTATACTTTATAAGGAACATGAGCAGAATAAAATTTGTTTAGGGAATTAGTTATGTGACAGCCATATGCTCAAACTCAGAAATGCCACATATTAATCCTTGGGTAAGAGAAGATCAACCACCATCTACAATGCCCCCCCTTTCCCCCCTCCTCCTTCTTAATTAAGCACTGGAGGTGGCTAGCTTAATTAGGGAGAAAGACTTCCAGGGGTGCCTCTAAGCATGGTGTAGGTTGTATACCAAACACACAGCCAGGATGTCACTGGGACTAAAATTCAGCCCTAAGCCAAGAGCACAGCCTGAATCTGCCCGGAGGGATGTCTTCCTGATTCTGACAGGGCACCAGGGCTTACCAGTTGGTCCAGAAGACATCTACCCTTCTTTAATCTGTCTGGACTGAATTTATTCAAGTGTCCCTACAATCTAATCTGATTTAAAGTTGTTCTTAAACTTTAGCCAGAATCATCTGGAGGGCTTGTTAAAACACATTGTTAAAACACACACATTGGGGGGTGCCTGGGTGGCTCAGTGGGTTAAAGCCTCTGCCTTCGGCTCAGGTCATGGTCCCAGGGTCCTGGGATTGAGCCCCGCATTGGGCTCTCTGCTCATCGAGGAGCCTGCTTCCCCCCCCGCCCCGCCTGCCTCTCTGCCTGCTTGTGATCTCCCTCTCTGTCAAATAAATAAATAAAATCTTTAAAAAAACAAAAAACAAAAAACACATTGGTAGGCTAGAACCCCAGAGTTCCTGATTCAGTAGGTTTGGAGCGGAGCCTGGGAATTTCAATTTCTAACAAGTACCCAAGTGGGAGTGGATGTTACTGGCCTGGGGACCTCACTTTGCACCAGCGCTGTAAGCTACAGGCAAAGGTTTTTGTTTTGTTTTTGTTTTTTAACTTTGGATCTTTCCCATGTTTACTAATGCGAGAGCCTCACTGAGCCCATACAGACCAAAGAAAAAATACGCCACTTCAGGTAGGCAGAACTGTAGGCGAACAGTGACACACCCATTTCCCTGAAAGGCCCCCAGTCCCTCACATGACCTCCAATAAGGGTCTGAGAAGGCAGTCTGTGGGCAGGTTATTTCCATCCATTTGATTGACTGAGCTTCTGCATCTGTATAAGGAAGGAGCCCCCTGTTTCCCTGGCAAGCAGCTCAGCTGGGGGCAAGGAGGCTAGTAATTTACATGAATTGATGGCATGGTTCTTAGACCCCTTGCTCAGTGAAAAGGCTGCTTGTTTCGGTTGAAGCTAAGATTGTGTACACAGTGGGGGGAGTGGAGACCTTCTCTGGGGAATACAGGGCTCCCCCATGATCTAGATCCACTAAACCACACCCGATTTTTCTGCACTCAGATACAGAAAGGCTTTTTGTTGATAGCCTCCTTGAGTTGTTAATGTGTCCACCTAAGCCATCCTGAGTAAATAGGTAGCTCTCCTCTGAGAGCTCTTCAGGACCAGAGGCCTCTATTTTCCTCTGATGCATTAGTCTAGCTTTGGGCCCCTGTAATAGTCTGAGGATCCCCCTCCCACCGCCCCGCCACCCTGGACTAAAAGTCTTTAAGTCTCTTCATTGTCCCTGGTGTAAGAGAAAAGAGTCGGTCTCCATTTTCTGTACTGAGATGTTCACTTACTGGATACCCACCCACATTTTTTGTTTTTGTTTTTGTTTTTTTTGTCTATACCCTGCCTCTGCTCAAACCCTCTTTTCTGATCAACAGGCCTGCAGTGTTTTGTCCTCTTCATCAGGAACCAGCAACCCTCTCTGATGCTGCCTTTTCTGGAAGGTCCTCTATGGCATTCTGGCACTACTGAGAAATCTATCCAAGTGCCCCATCTCTTGGCCCCTGAGAACCCCATTCATTTGCCAATTTATGCTTTGAATATTCTTTTGATATTCCCTTAGTGTTGGTGGCAAGGACACCAAAGAGCTTAGAGGAGCCCCCACTGGGAGAGACCAGCAGTTCTTAAGGGTTTTTCTATCTCTGCTCCCTTTCTAAAAATCTGAGGAAAGTCCCCCCCCAGGGAAAAACAAACAAACAAACAAACAAACAAACAAAAACAACCAAAAAGCTTTGTTTCATAATCAGGGGAAGTCATCACAGCAGACTCTCCCTCTACCTGCCTCACAGAGACAACCACAGAGAGATCTCAGGGACATGTCCTGTGAGCAGCGTCCTTCGGGGGTGGGGGGGGGGGGGGTGGGGTGTGTGGCATGGGTAAGAAAGAGCAAATGATGACCTTTCAAAAGAAATCTCTTCTAGAGGTCTGCCTTTGGACAAACCCAGAAAGACACATGTGCTCTTCAGAAGATATGGATCTGGGAAAAATGCAAAAACAAAACAAAACAGAAACAACTCTCCAGAACCACATCTTTTCAAGGTGGCCCAGAAACAGCTAACAACATCGTTGTCTTTACCCGTTCAGTTCAATGTAGCTTTTCACTTTAAAGGGGATGCCTTCTGCTAAGAAGAGGGAGGGATTGGTGGAACAGGGATAGAAAAGCACCAAAACGCAGTCTAGGTTACACAAATTCAGTGTGACTTAGGAAGAGGCTGAGGAGGAGGGCATTTCATTAGACGATCAGATCTAACCCAAGTCACCAACTGGGTGTGTTTGTTTCTATTTATAGTCAAGGACACTAGCCTCTCACGACTGATTCTGGGCACGCGGAAGATTCGGAAGATTCGTGTGGACTAAACGACAGTACCCAGGATCTGGAAAGGGTGGTCCATCCATCAAGGGATGAAGCAATCCTGATTTTCATTTACCGGGAATGTGCAGAACTTGTTTCATTCCTCCCAAAACCATGAAAAAAGGAAAGGAAGGAAGGAAGGAAAGGGGAAGGAAAGGAAAGGGAAAAGTAAAGGAAAAGGAAATGAAGGAAGAGAGAGAGAGAGAAAAGCCACAATAGTCTCCATTAGGATGAAGGGGCACCTATGCCACCGCCTTTGAATTCTTTCAGAATCCTTATGTTTTTGGCAAGGGAGTGTTTCAAGTGTTCTCTGAATCAAACGACTGCTTTTACTTGATGCAATGGTTCAGAGAGTTTTGATCTTGAATCAAAGTTTGGGATAAATCAGGATGGGTTTGAAATCCATCCAAAAGAGAATTATGGAGCCCTGTGTTATGAAGTATGTCAGCATCAAACATACAGGGGTCCTATGTATTAGCCAATAACTAAGTACGGTTGACCCTTGAACAATGAGAGCGTTAGGGTGGCAACACACACCCTCTTCCCCACCGGACTGAAAATCCATCCCCCAAAACTGAACTCCTAATAGCGTACTGTTGTCCTTCAAGCCTTACTGATAACATAAGCCACAGATTAACACATATTTTGTATGTTCTATGCAATCAGTTCTATATTATTACAACAAAGTAAGCTAGAGAAAAGAAAATGTTATTAAGAATATCACAAGGAAGAGGAAAAAAAAAAAGAAAATCATAAGGGAAACACATTTATGGTACTATACTTACTGAAAAAAAATCTGCACATAAGTGGATTCACACAGCTCAACCCCGTGTTATTCAAGGGTCAGCTTTATCGTGGTTATTCTAGACCAAGCTTCTATGATTACATTCTGTGCCGTTATGTGCCACAGACAGTGCTATTTCCACTTCAGGGGGCAACAGTCCTGCCTTTGTTGTCTTTCTAGGTAATATATGAAGCCAGATGGACTGCAGCCCAAATCAACAGGTTATGAAGTTGTTCTGGAAGTTATTTTGGGGAAGTTGACTTACCATACCACTCATCAACCCATGCAAAAGCCTGTCTATGTCCAATCAGCAGAATATCCCGGACCACCTACGAAAGTAAAAGAAGGACATTGAAATAATCCCATGTTTGATTAAAACTACCAGGAAAATAGTTTGTTCCCAATTCTAGGAATCCTGACAATTACACATATCCCCATCCCTCTGTCCATGTGATAGCAAATACAGTCTCACATACACAGATCATGGGCTTGCTCACGTGCCCAGCCCTTCCGAGGCTATATGTGCTGTAAAATAATCTCTTCATCTTAACTGAAAGTTGGACTAGGAGTGTATACACACTACGGACAACAGGTTGGCAGCACACCGCAATGACCGGAATGAATCTCTAGGCTAATCACCTTGAGTTTTCCTCTTCATTCATCTTTTTAAAAAAATTTATTTATTTGAGGGACACCTGGGTGGCTCAGTGAGTTAAAGCCTCTGCCTTCAGCTCAGGTCATGATCCCAGGGTCCTGGGATTGAGCCCCGCATCCGGCTCTCTGCTCAGCAGGGAGCCAACTTCTCCCCTCTCCCTGCCTGCCTCTCTGCCTACTTGTGATCTGTCAAATAAATAAATAAAATCTTAAAAAAAAATTTATTTATTTGAGAGAGAGAGCGCACGAACAGGAGGAGGGGCAGAGGGAGAGGGAGAAGAAGTAGGCTTCCCACTGAACAGGGAGCCCGATGCAGGACTCGATCCCAGGACCCCCGGATCATGACCTGAGCCGAAGGCAGACACTTAACCGACTGAGCCACCCAGGCGCCCCTCTTCATTCATTTATTTATTTATTTATTTATTCCTCTTCATTTATTTATACCTGAAATAGGTTCAATTTCAAAAGGTGTCTCTCACTGGCACTAAGAGATCATGAACGTTGGAAATCAAGAATGCTTTTTTGGGTAGCAAGTGACTTCGCAGCAAAGGGTACTTATTCTTCTCTGAAAAAATATCTTAAATATTGCTCCAATTTTTTATTTTCATATTTGAAGGTGTGGAATACAGGATAAGTAAACACCTTTTTGGATGTGACTTTCATGTAGTGGAAGAGGGGGAAAAGGCAGTGTAATCAACTGTTATTGACAGAGATAAAATAAAGAGACCTTGACTAGAATAGAACATAATGGGAATGACAAGCCTGGCTAGAGACAAAAGGAATAAAATTGTTTCTTACGGTGACACATCATGGCCCTAGGAGACTAAGAAAGATAGATAGTTTGTGCGTGTCTGCGTGTGTGTGTAGCGCTGTTCATGTGCTTTAATTTTATGGTATTCTTGGTGTCCTCTATAAATATGCTGTTTTATGTTTCTTGGATACTCACGCGCTCCCTTCAACATCCTTTTCTTCCTGCCAAACAAATCCAGCAATTGTCAAAAACCTCTCATGAAAGGTTCAGGCACGTTTCAATAAATGAAAGATTTTAATCTGGTGAATTTGCAGAAGCAAAGGAAGCATTTATAATGATGTGTTTATTTCTCCGAGCCTCTGGATATCTAGCGAAGCTTTTAGGATGCGGAAGGAGGAAATATGTCATGAAAATAAGAAACAACATGAAACCCTACCCACTTGAATGCTGACTGTGTCAAATTCATGGAAATGAAAAGAACAGCATTGGGGCATCAGTAAAATATATCCTATTACATTAAGCACAACACAGCTGTCTGCTGGAAACGAGAATTCAATAATGTGCTAATGGTTCGCTTTCGAACATTTTTTCCCCCCTTAACTGTGAATAGATTCTTAAAAAACAAAGGTGTTCAGAGAAAGGCGTCCCTGGTGCTTTAAAACCATGCAAATACTAGCCTCAAATACTCATTAGCAACTCGTGTGCCAGAGCAGGTGTGTTCTGGGGCGTTGGTAACACTTCCTTATATTTGGAAATGGGCAACAGGAAGGCCTTTTCCTAGAGCAGAATTCCTACAGGTATTTTAAAGAAACAGAATCTCAAAAGTAGCCAAGTTAGCTGCAAGGAAAGAAACACAGTGAGCCCTACGGCAATCCAAACAGGCTTTATGAAAGACGGATACGCTAAGTACACTATATGCGGTCTAATAAGAGAGCATTTTGGGTTAAAAAATAAGGGGAGGGGGAGTGGGGCATCTGGGTGGCTCAGCTGGTTAAGCATCTGACTTTTAGTTTTGGCTCAGGCCATGATCTCAGGGTCATGGGATCAAGCCCTGTGGCAGGCTCTATGCTCAGTGTGGAATCTGCTTGGGATTCTCTCTCCCTCTGCGCCTCCCCTCCTTCTCTCTCTCTCTCTCTCTCAAATAAACAAATAAAATCTTAAAAAAAAAAAATACAGGGGGTGGGGGAGATGTTACAGGAAGTTGAAGAAGATACAGCTTAAGGCAGACCCAGAGCTGAAGCTGGAAGATATTTACTCTGGGATCATCCTTCTGCTTAATAACTTGGGACACAGCAGGGAAACAAGTGGCCTCCCCAAACTTGATCTCCATGTGTTTCACTCTGTTCCTGCTTCTGGCTGGGCAGAGTGGGCTCTGGAGTGCAGCAAAAGAGCAGATCGACACACTTCTCTGTTTAAGAAAACACCAAAGTTGGGGTGCCTGGGTGGCTCAGTGGATTAAGCCTCTGCCTTCGGCTCAGGTCATGGTCTCAGGGTCTTGGGATCGAGCCCCGCATCAGGCTCCCTGCTCAGTGGGGAGCCTGCTTCCCTCCTCTCTCTCTGCCTGCCTCTCTGCCTACTTGTGATCTCTCTCTCTCTCTCTGTCAAATAAATAAATAAAATCTTAAAAAAAAAAAAGAAAAGAAAACGCCAAAGCGGGGCGCCTGGCTGGCTCAGTGGGTTAAAGCCTCTGCCTTTGGCTCAGGTCATGAGCTGAGGGTCCTGGGATTGAGCCCCATATCGGGCTCTCTGCTCAGCAGGGAGCCTGCCCCACCCCCCAGCCTGCCTCTCTGCCTACTGGTGATCTCTGTCTGTCAAATAAATAAAAAAAAAGAAAGAAAGAAAGAAAGAAAGAAAGAAAGAAAACACCAAAGCTCTCAAATATGTTCTCGAGTTTGCTATTATCATGAACCCAAGTTCCATCTATTCCTTGGACCTCAAAACGTTATATATTTTATTGCCAACTGGTCTCCAATCTCAGTAGACAAATGCATCTGAGTAACACAAAGCTCAGTGCATTACAGCTAAATTCCAGGGCCCCCAAAAGAATTTCAGAAAGCTATTCTTTATCAGTTTTTAAGTGGAAAAATAAACAGATATCCAGCCTATCTGGAATGTAGAGACAACTCGGGGAGTATTTATTTTTATGAAAATAGGAGGCGTTACAAAGGGCAGTGCTCAACATTGCATTTTCCATTTGTTTACATGAGGGTAAGAGTCATGTCCAAAGCTCCTAATAAACTTAAATCATCACCAAATCTTGTTCCTGTGACAAAATGGACATGTTTAGCTAAAGTGGGTATACATTTGAAATCTGTGTTTTGAGATTTTTTTTTAAAGATTTTATTTATTTATTTGATAGAGACATCACAAGCAGGCAGGCAGAGAGAGAGGAGGAAGCAGGCTCCCCGCTGAGCAGAGAGCCCTATGCAGGGCTCGATCCCAGACCCCTGAGATCATGACCTGAGCCCAAGGCAGAGGCTTAATCCACTGAGCCACCCAGGCACCCAAGGTAACAGAATTATTAAATGACCAGAAATACTGAGGTGCACTATCTAAAGGACCACTGGGATTTCTTGGGGTGTCTTGCCTTAGGTGGCTATATTTGCAGGATCTTTTTTTTTTTTTTTTTTTTAAGAGAGAGAGAGAGGAAGCACATAAGCACATGACTGGGGAAGGAGAGGCAGGCAGAGGAAGAGAGAGAATCTTAAGCAGGCTCATGCCCAGCATGGAGCCTGATGTGGGGCTTGATCTCACAGCCCCAAGATCATGACCTGAGCCGAAATCCAGAATCAGATGCTTAACTGACTGAGCCCCCAGGTGCCCCTATATTTACAGGATCTCTTTTTTTTTTTTTTTTAAAGATTTTATTTATTTATCTGACAGACAGAGATCACAAGTAGGCAGAGAGGCAGGCAGAGAGAGGAGGAAGCAGGCTCCATGCTGAGCAGAGAGCCTGATGCGGGGCTCGATCCCAGGACCTTGGGATCATGACCTGAGCCGAAGGCAGAGGCTTTAACCCACTGAGCCACCCAGGCACCCCTTACAGGATCTTTTGAGTGAGAATTATCTTGGCGGCCAAAAACACACATCAGCCCTGTGCCTCTGCCTGGAACCCAAGTACCAGAGTACGAAGTACAAGTACTTCTGCCTGCAACTAGATTAGCCTGATGCCAAAGGGAAGAAGTATTTAGTACTGAAAACCCAACTTCCTGGATCTACTCATCCAACAGACATGGAGGTCACAGAATCAGAAATGAAGTGCAAAGTATCAAATTAAACCTGTATATAAAGTGGATTTTCACGAAAACAGCGTTTTCTAGATATAGTGATGTCGTGTTGGCTCAGCACCGGGTGTGTGTTGGGCATCGTGCACTCCAGCTTACAGTAAAGGCAGTCACTGTGTCCACAGCCCAGGAACCGCCATTTACTCACTTACCTTGTGTACAAATTGTTCCACTCTGGTCTGAAGCCCCCAGACCTCGAACTTCACGGTCACCAGTTTGTAGGAACACATGATGGGTTGATGACTATCTCTCCAGCCTTCCCTTAATTGTCCCCGTCCTGTCTTCTCGGACTTGAAATGCTTGGGATCCTGGGGGGAAAAAAAAATCAAAGAAATGAACATAAAAGTTTAACCATCATTTAGAGGAAATGTCTAGAATAGGCAAATCCATACAGACGGCAAGATTAGTGGCTACCAGGGGTGGAGTGACTACTAATGGATAAAAGGGTTCCTGTTGGGGCGATGAAAATATCCTGGAATTAGATAGTGGTGGAAGCTGTATCACTTTTGTGAATGTACTAAAAAACCCTGAATTATACACTTAATTAAAAGGGTGAATTATATACATTTCAATCAGAAAGGGACTTGCAATGTAAAGAAAGGCCAACATGATAGCTCGCCTATTCACATGTCAAAAACGTGACCTATTTATTTTTTAAAAGATTTTATTTTACTTTTTTATTATTATTGTTTTTTAAAAGATTCCACTCATCTATTTGACAGATAGACATCACAAGTAGGCAGAGAGGCAGGCAGAGAGAGAGGAGGAAGCAGGCTCCCTGCCGAGCAGAGAGCCCAATGTGGGGCTTGATCCCAGAACCCTGGGATCATGACCTGAGCCGAAGGCAGAGGCTTTAACCCACTGAGCCACCCAGGTGCCCCAGAACCTTTTTTTTTTTCACAGTCCAACCCGCTCCTGGGTGTGTAAATTGTTTCAACAACTTTGGACAATTGCTCAGCACTATCTATGACTGTCTACAGAGCTTAGCATGTGCCTATCTGTGACCTGACATTCACTTTCTGTGTGAAATGGATACCTCTGGCCACCAAAGGGTGTACTAGAACATTCACAACAGCTTTAAACATAACAGGCAAAACTGGAAATAGCTCAAATGTTCATCAACAGGAAAACAGGCAAATTGTGGGTTATTCCCCCGATGGAGTACCACACAGCAATGAAAAAGAGCAAAGTGCTGATCCACACAAGACTGCCTATGACGCCCACAGACAGTACGCTGAGCAAAAGTAGCCAGACACAGCCGTGTACAGAGCATGATTCCAACCGAAGCTCAAGGTTCTCTATGGCGTTTAAAGTTGGAATAACAGCAGTAACCTTTTGGAAGGGAGGGTAGATACGAAGAAACACAAGGGAAATGTCTAGGCTGACTGTCGATCTGGATGACTATATGGACTATATGTAAAAGTCCACCGAGCTCTAGGGGCACCTGGCTGGCTCATTCGGTAGAGCGTGTGACTCTTGGTGTCGGGGATGTGAGTTCAAGCCCCATGCTGGGTACAGAAGTTTACTTGAAAGTAAAATAAAAATGAAAGTAAAAAAAAGTTCATGGAGTTTTATTTATTTTTATTTTTTAAAAAAATTTTAGAGATTTTACTTATTTATTTGTCAGAGAGAGAGAGAGAGAGCACAAGCAGGGGGAGCAGCAGGCAGAGCCCGCAGAGGGAGAAGCAGGCTCCTTGCCGAGCAAGTAGCCCGACACAGGGCTCGATCCCAGGACCCTGCGATCATGACCTGAGCTTAAGGCAGATGCTCAATAGACTCAGCCACTCAGACGACCCACTTCACTGAGTTTTAGACATAAGATTTGTGTTATATTATACTTAAAAAATGAAATAAGGTTAAAAATTTTTTGAACATTTAACCGTTTAAGATTTTTTTCAATGACTGCCATGTGGACAGCTACTGTGCTACCTTTCTAGCATCTCTTCTGGACCACTATTCCAAAGCCACAACCTTTCCCTTGTGCCTTACAAAGCTCCTGCATCCCCATGCTCCAAAGTTCTAGAACCTTCTAGACAAGTGTTAGTTCTTCTTGAAATTCCTTCTCCCCAGCTAACTCCTCCATTTTGACTGACTCTCCTTTTCTCTCTTTAAAACTTCTTAAGACTTGATCCACGCTCTAGCACAGATGAACTTCAAAAAACATTATGCTGGGGGCGCCTGGGTGGCTCAGTGGGTTAAGCCTCTGCCTTAGGCTCGGGTCTTTATCCCAGGGTCCTGGAATCGAGCCCCGTGTCGGGTTCTCTGCTCAGCGGGGAGCCTGCTTCCGCCTCTCTCTCTGCCTGCCTCTCTGCCTACTTGTGCTCTCGGTCTGTCAAATAAATAAATAAAATCTTTAAAGGAAAAAAAAAAACAACATTATGCTGAGTGAAAGAAGCTGGTCACCAAAAGCCACATTCTAGAATTCCATTTATATAAAATATCCAGAGTAGACCTGTCTACAGAGAAAGAAAGTAGAGTAGTGGCCCAAAGCTGGGGAGTAGGATGGTAAGGGGAAAGACTGCTATGAAAACAGAGGTTCTCGTGGGGGTGATGAAAATACTCTAAAATTAGATATAGAGTGATAGCTTACAAGTCTGTAAATATGCTAAAAACCATTTAATTTTGTACACCTTAAATGGGTAAACTCTATGTTATGTAAATTATATATCACCAAAGCTGTGAGAAATACAAAAGCGCAATATAAAAACACACTATGCGGGGCACCTGGGTGGCTCAGTGTGTTAAAGCCGCTGCCTTCGGCTCAGGTCATGATCTCAGGGCCCTGGGATGGAGCCCCGTATTGGGCTCTCTGCTCAGCAGGGAGCCTGCTTCCCCCTCTCTCTCTGCCTGCTTCTCTGCCTACTTGTGATCTCTGTCTGTCAAATAAATTAAAAAAAAAAATCTTAAAAAAACAACAACAACACAATATGCGACACCTTGGTAAGACTTTTCAGGGTGCGCACTGGTTTTGCGTTGGCTGACATGCCTGCGTAAAATAGTATTCTAACAGTCATTATCCTAAGCACGTTTACTGAGTGCACAATGCGGGCACAGTCGAGAACCAGGTATTACATTGTGCTCTCCCTTGACCTGGTTTCTTCGCCCTGAGGGGTGTGGGAGGGCAGCCACTGTGTGTGTGTGTGTGTGTGTGTGCACACGCACAGGTGTGTGCACATGCGCGGCCTGGAAGGTATGGTCTATGTGTGGTCATAGAGCACTTCCTTCCACTCAGAATGAACTCTGCTCTACTTCAATGATTTCCATTCCCTGACCTTCCCCTGGGGTCCCTCATTTGCAGTGGCTGCAGTAGAAGACACTGGACCTTGGGGTAGAAAGGACCAGAGTGAGACAAATAGATAATTAATGGAATACCAAATTGACAGAAGAGATTCTGAAAGACAAGAAGGAAAAGAGAATGCATCCTAGGTATCCCATGGGAATAAATGCTCCGTGAAGGGAGGGGCTGGCAATTTGAGTATGGGTAACATTTTCAAATCTTTGGTACCAATGTTGTCATGCTATATTTTTAGCACCTGAACCAACCCAGAAAGTGCCACTGACATTGCACGCACAGGTTTGGGAAGATTATGTTAATGTAATAACATGATACATGAAAAAGGCACCAGCACAGGGTCTGGCTCATGGCAAGTGCTCGGGTGATGTTGACTACTGTACTTTGTAAGGCAGTCACAGAAGCATCTGAGTTAACACAAGCAATCCTGCAGCCCGGGGCAGAGACGCTAGTATCTTTCCAAAGCACTCTGAAGTGGCTGGTAAAAGATTAGACAGTTCAAGGCCATGGGACTAATTCCTGCCTACCCCATGTTCCTATAACCTATAATGCCATTGGGAGTAAAAAGAGAAGACCAATAATAAATCAAGAAGTATCACCAGGGAGACCAATAAATCAAGAAGTATCACCAGGGAGACCAATAAATCAAGAAGTATCACCAGGGAGACTACAGTAGAAAATCTCCAAGGACGGTCTCCATCATTTCCCTTCCTTCCTGCACCAGTATGCTGTTCCTCTAACCCAGAGGTAGAGGCAGTCTCCCCTCACTTCAAACCTAACGTGACCTAGAACTTGCTTTGACCAATTGCAAATGGCAGAAAAGATACTGTGTCAGTCTAGGCCTCTACAGGAAGCTAGAAACCAGAAGCGGGACACAATGTAAAAAGTCTGGTTTGATTACTCTGAGACCGCCATGTTGGGAGGAAGCCCACGCTAGCCTTGGGGAGAGGTGCTCACCCACCCCAGCTGAGAAGCCAGGCATGTAAGTGAACAGGTCAAACCTGATATTTTCAGTCCAAACATATGCCACGAGGAACAGAAGATCTGCCCGGCTAAGCCTAGTTGGAAGTTGCAGAATTGTGAGAAGTAATGCCCTGTCATTGTTTAAGCCGCTCAATTCTGGAGTGGATGGTTCCTTAGGAAGAGATCACAAACTAGATGCATCATGTGGATTACAGAACAGGTGCAAACACTGGGTTCACCACCGATGAAAAGAATGAATTCTGCTTTCTCTTTTCACAGAACACACCAGAGGTTCATACAATAAACCACATGCCTGAAAGCCCCAAAGGAGGACATTCAGAGCTGCCAAGTAGTTCATGGGAGTTAAAATGTAGGGGCTGGAGCTAAACAGGGAAGGTTGGTTTCTTTCCCCATCTGCCTACTGACTTTCCAACAAAAGGCAAATGAGGAGTCCAATCCCCAGCACATGAACAGTAATGATCTTGAGCCTCAAAAGACATGGCCTCCATGCTTTGGCCGGCTAGAATGGGCAAACCCTTGAGATCCTGAGAGGTGACCGTCTTTCTGAGTTAGCGAGTAGGTAAACAAAGGACCGTTCTAGAGCCAGCAAGCAGAGGAAAGCAGGAGGGCGAAACTCCTGGTAACCCAGACGTGTAGCAAACAAAGGAGCCGACAAACAGCAAGGGGCCAGGCACAGAAGGTGGAGAAAAGAAGTAAAAGCCACGGTCTGAGCTGCCTTCATGCCTCTGGGGGCCTATGCAGGGGTGTGAGAGAGGCCTGAAGATGGGAGGCCCCTGGGCCATCTAGCTGCACCCCACCCCGATTCATGGACGAGCCTCAGTTTGGCACCTATTCCAGAATCTTCATATCCATTCCAGGTTCAGGATTCTCAAAGAATAAAACAAGAGGGGCACCTGGGTGGCTCAGTCGTTAAGCGTCTGCCTCAGGCTCAGGTCACCATCCCAGGGTCTTGGGACCTAGCCCTACATCAGGCTCCCTGCTTGGCTGGAAGCCTGCTTCTCCCTCTCCCACTCCCCCTGCTCGTGTTCCCTC